TTTTGACTGGGAACTTGAACAACTTGACGTAAAAAACTATTTTTTTACATGGTGAGCTTAACGAACAAATATTTATGAATCAACCAAAAGGTTTTAAAGATAAGCTAAAACCTAATCATGTGTATTTTCTTAAAAGATCATTGTATTGTTTGAAACAGTCACCTAGACAATGGTACAAAAGACTCAATTCCAAATTAGTAAATTTGATCACTGTCTGTATTTTCAACACAACGAGATTGATAATAATTATTTGTTTCTGTTGTTCTATGTGGACGATATGCTTTTAATTGACTCATCACCTAAGTGGATAAATAACATAAAAACAAAGTTAACTGGTGAATTTGACATGAAAGACCTAGGTAAGGCAAAGAGAATTCTGGGCATGAAAATTGACAGAGATAGGTCAAATTCTGCTTTGTTTTTGCTTCGTTCTCCATATATTACTAAGGTGTTGAAGAAATTTGATATGAATAATTGCAAACCTATCACATTCCCTCTAGCTAATCACTTTATTTTATCTAAATAAAAAGCTACATGCAATGAACGTGAAGTAGAATACATGAATAGAATTCTGTATTCTAATGTGATAGGTTCCATAATGTATTTTATGGTTTGTAATATATGAGTCGGGCGGCGGATAAGTGCTAACACTTCTTTAAAGTCATAGGGGCCTCCACCAATTTCGAGTGGACTCAAGAGTGCGAAGAATCACTGAAATCCTTAAAGAAGTCATTGCATCAGCCTCTATTCTGACCAGCCCATGGACGGGTGACGTACTACCTCGCGGTGTTACCACGGGCAATTAGTGGCGTTCTTGTGAAAGAACTCCCAAAGGCACAAAAGTCAATCTACTATGTGAGTCAGGTCCTCAAAGGCGCAGAGACAAGGTATATTCTGGCCGAACAGCTGGTGCTCACGTTGATTGTTGCGGCAAGGAAGCTTAGACCTTCCTTTCAATCCCATACAGTGCAAGTAATGACTGACCAACCCATCAAGCAGATCCTATATCGACTGGAAACCTCCGGGAGGCTACAAAAATAGGCGATTGAAATAAGTGAGTTTGACATTAAATTTACACCCAAGACGACCATCAAAGCGCAGCTCTGGCAGACTTCATTGCCGAACTCACCATCCCGACAGAGTCCCCAGAAGTGAAAAAGGTAGATTGGAAGATCTTTGTAGATGGTTCCTCGAATGCAGAGGGATCAATAGCATGAATCATAATGATCGGACCAGACTCTGAAGAATTGGAATACTTGCTACGCTTTGAGTTCCCTGCTACCAATAACGACGCCAAGTATGAGACAGTTATCACAGGCTTAGGTTTGGCAGCAAGGTTGGGAGTGACTTCACTAGAGGCATGCAGTGACTCGCAGCTAATAGTTGGGCAGATATTGGGAGAGTACGAAGCAAAGGTGATATGATCCCGGGTGCACCATCAATTTCCAAGAATTCATTAATTGATTGGAGAAGGTCGAAGTCAAGAACCGAGCCAAGTCGAGACTTTGAAGTAGCTAATAAAATTGTTCACTTATGTATTTGAGCAACGGAGTCTAAAACCATGAAATTCACTTGTCAAGGAGTAAATTTGATGAAGGGGCCGAAGTCTAATTCAATTGGGATTAGCTTGATAATTGCAGTCGAAGATGGAGCCGAAATCAAAGATTGTGCGGCCGCACAGCTTCCAACCCCTGCGGCCGCATAGGAGCAAACAGGGAATTTTTTGGCTGTTGATGAAGCTTCCATGCGGCCGCAGTCACTACCACCATGCGGCCGCACCATAGAAAATCGGCCAGAAAATTTCCTTTCCACGCAAGAAGATTTGTTTGAGTCAATTTCTTATTTTTGGTAACTTTAATATTATAAGGACTCTAATTTCGTGTTTTACAATATTTTAGGAGTTTATTCCTTTTTAAATTAGGTTTTTATATTCTTTAGCATAAATAGGAGTTTTATGATTCATTGTAACAAGTTTGATTATGAATTAATGAGAGAATTTCCTCTTCGAAGCTTAGCTTCAAATTTATCTTGTTCATTAAATTGAATGGGGCGAACTTATCAAGACTAATCATCTTGTGGCGTTCAAAATATCGGATTGAATCATTGAATTGTGTAATCAAGGGTTCTTTCGCGTCAACGTTACCATTGGGTTTGTTGGTTCATCTTTTATTGGTTCAAATCCACAATCCGGGTGTGATTTCTTCAATCGTGTGATCAAGAGGTCTTTCAAGCAATGTTCTTGTTGGGTTGCTTGGTTCACTATTTTGGGGTCAGATCCATAAACCTTGGTCATATTGGCGTTCTTAGGATCCGATTCAATATCCTGTGGGTTCAATTGCAACCTTGCTGATCGGGTTCACATCAAAAGGATGGGAGGATGGCAGCATACCTAAAGAAAGTAAGGGATTTGCAAAGAGGGTTCACAAGCTTTAAGGTGATGAAGGTCTCGCAAAAAGATAATGAGCGTGCAGACGCACTAGCAAAGCTCGGATTGGCCAACCTAAAAAACTTGCCTCGGACAGCAAGTGTGCAAGTCCTACAACAACCTATCATTCAGCGTTGGGCTGAGGTGAAAAATATTGAAAACGAGGAAAGTTGGATAAATTCAATAATCAAATATCTAGCAGAAGACAAGGTACCGGAAGATCCCTTAAAGGTGAGGAGATTGAGAGTTGGGCAGCCTCATTTACCATCATTGATGGGCAACTCTACAAGTGCGGTTTTACCATACCTTATTTGAAATGCATACGACCTGCTGAAGCTAAAGAGGTACTGTTTGGAATACATGCTGAGATCTGCGGCAACCACCAAGGAGCAACATCCCTTGCCTTCAAAGTTCTACGACAAGGTTATTATTGGCCGACTATGAAAGAGGACGTCAAAGAGTTAGTAAAGAAATGTGACATATGCCAACGTCATGAAAGTTTGATTCATGTCCCAGCTGAACAATAGGTTGCTATCTTTAGGGTATGCCCATTTTTTCAGTAGGGGATGAATATTTTGGGGCCTTTGCCAATGGCTAAAGGAGAAAGATAGTTTTTGCTGGTTGCTATCGACTACTTCACTATGTGGGTAGAGGCGGAGCCATTAGCAACCATTACGACAGCAAAAATACAAGGCTTTGTATGGAAAAATATAATATGCTGATTCGGGATACTGAGGGTGGTGGTGACAGATAACGACAGATAATTTGACAATCATAGCTTCAAGGCCTTTTGTCCAAGTTATCAAATCGATCATAGACTAACCTCGGTTGCCATCCTCAATCAAATGGACAAGTCGAAATAACAAACCGAGTTATTCTCCAAGATCTGAAGACCAGACTGGAAAAGAAGAAACGACTTTGGGCGGATGAGTTGCTCAATGTGCTTTGGGTGTATCACAATTAGTCGAACCCATAAAAATCTTGAGTTTCAATGACATTAAATTATCAATCTTTACCAATTTAGCTACAGAACTGAGCTCAATTCTTCGACTAAACAACAATTTAAAAAATTAACTTCAATAATCACAACAATAAACAAAATTTTAAAAATTTCTCTATAAATTCCAAAACATACCCTTAAAGAGCTGATTATTCAGAGCGAGGAGTGGCGCAGGAAAAGAATTGAACTGGTTTGATTTTTACAGGAAGTAAAGTAATTCAGAGGGAATGGGTGTGGCTTTGGAATAGTGTACGTGGCACTTTCTTAATTGTATCTTTTACTTGTGCAAGATTTTATAGACCTTTAGGATTTTGGCATTTTGTGTTAGATTTTTCAATTATTAGGGACTTTTGCAGGCTATGGAGTCAAATTAGAGATTCATTTATTTGTTATATTGAATATTCTTTGTGGTGAGTTTCTTGGACATCAACTTGAAAATAAGATCATAATTACTTGTGTAACTGTTAGTTGATAAATAAGTTTGTTGTGCTTCAATATTGTCTACTCTAATATGTGACCTCTTTAATATGCGATATGTCAGTCAAAGGTCGTAAGTCAAACATCGTTCTCCTATGGAAACGAAAAGTAGAAATATTTATATCATATTTCATTTTAATTGCTAAAGTCATTTAAGAATTCATTTGCCTTTCATTCATAACACGGGGTGGAAATGAGCTCAATGTGCAAACTCTTGAGAGCACAATCCATGGGAGGCTCAGCTCATTCAACCATAAGCCCATGGAAGCTTGGCAAATTAAGCTCGTGGTTCAGGAGCCCATCTTATTCTCATATCGAATTGCCTAGCTTAGCTCATCAACAAGGAAAGCCCTCTAGTCTAATGGGAAGCTCGGCTTGGACCATTGTGGCCCTATTCATAAAATTGGCATGGATGTATATGTGTATATTTTTATTTATTCATTTATTTATTTTTGCTATCATTTATTTATTTTTATTACTTACCAAACCGGCCCAAGCTCAAGCCAACACCCCGAAATTGGGCTTGGTCCGAGCCTCGGCTCGGTGTCTCCAGGGCACGAGTTGGGCCAGCTTGGGCTTTTCTCGAGCCGAGCCACGGGCAGCCCAAGCCAACAAATCAAATTAACATCCCTAAGATAATGCAACATGAACTCTCAAATATAGTGGAACGCAAGAATAGCACGACAAAAAGAGCTTAAAATGAAGGAACTCTACAATTGAATATTTCTTGTATAAATAAACTTTTGAAACCGTAATGCTTGTCGATTTCGCTGGTGCTTATAAAATGCTCAACTCAATAATATTTAAAAAGATAAATGAATATGTTCGGTACGTTGAACTAGATATGATCAAAGAAAAGAGTTTAAGATGTTTGTCAAAACAAGACAATTGTATTCTGTCCAACTTTCTCTTCTTGCATATAGTAAAATAGCTTATATTAAACCCTTCCATATATGGGTACAATGCAAAAAGAAATTGGGCAACTTACAAAAATACACTTAAAAATAGGAGTATTTTGAAAAATCATATGAAATATTTTTTAGAAGTAAAAACTACTGTATAACATTAAAAAGTGACAGATAACATAGTATTCATACAAAAAACATGTGATGTGCTCTTACCCACACCTCGGACAAGTAGGGAATGATGCTACAAGTAGAAATAAAAGGCGATACAAAAAAGAGGGGCACTAACAAAAAGAACTACGACTAAGCATGCTTCAACTCGAAAGAGAAGCATCGCCACTACCATCTCGTGACGAATGACCAAGTGACCTGGATGGCTGCGCCCCACTCTGCTTCTGAACTTATCAAAACCTGAGGGTTCAAGGATGCTTGGTCAATATCCACTCCTGTGTTAGTTTGATGGACGCTGCCATTGCCTTCCCCTATATGAATGTAAAGCCTTGGCATAATCAGATGACGGCTTGTACTGCTCCACGGATGCCTCTAAGTCCCTATTATACTCAGCAGAGGCCTTATACCTCTCGACCACCTCCTCCGAAGCACAAGCCAACACAGACTGCAAATTGTTATTCTCTGTCCGCCTCTAGAGATTTCTTCAAAGAATATATCTTTTTCTTGTAATGATGGGCCTCTTTCTTTTTTTTTCTATAGGAGTCTTCAACTCTAAGGCTTGGCGACGACTCGATTCAGCAAGCCCGGCCTGAAGGGCCACCACCTAAAGGATGAGGAGACAATGTGAGAGTCTAGTGGTAAAACCATGTTCAAAAAATAAGACTCAGCATAAAAAAGATATGGAATTAGAAACATACCCTTTGGAGATAGGCCACCACTGCCCTCTCGATGTTGTCAGCACTATGTCCTGCAATTGCCCTGGCTTGAGCGGGTGTTATCAAAGACTTAAGCGCCCCCATCTCATGATAGCCCCGGGTGGGAGGAAACCGAAAATTCAGAAGTGAATCCTCGCGCTCACACTGCATACGGTTGGAAGCACCTGGCCTAGGAGAAGGGACAACCTCATGGGCTCGTCTGAAGGTTGGGGGGTCTTTTTGTCCATCTGAGACCTTCCTCCTTGGATGCCTGTCTTCTTCCTTTTTAAAGGGATGGGAGATGGATCAACATCACTCCTATGTCCCTACTCGGGCATAGAATCCATAGTCCCCTTCAAATCAAACTCCATCCCTGCGCATATAACGTAAGGTCCATTAAGTTTACAAAAAAAAAAAAAAAACATGGGAGTATGAAGCAAGAACGAGGACCTTGAGAGCTTACCGTCAATGGGAGCAAGGTCCTTGTCACCTCCCGGCAGGGTCTTCAATACCTGATCAAGGTCAAAATCCATATCTACATACATACGCCAAAACTCATTAACCCAGAAAAACAACAAACAAAAAATATGTGCAAACAAAAAATCGCAAAACCCAACGAAACCGCCTACCAGTAGGATGACTCATCCCCACTATTAACATTTTCCTCATGGTCAGAACCAATCCTAAGTCAAGTGCGAAAGGGGGTACATCGACCAACTCTTGGATTTGAGTTTTTAGAAGAGAAGTAATTTCTACTTGGCTATTGAAAATGCGAATTTGGGGATGCTACCAATTGGTATTGAAAGGGAATCGACCTTCGGGAGGGCGAGCAAAGAAAGACCAAGATTTTCACCCACTGTTCGAATTCCTAAACTTGGGAAAGAGTAAAGGGACCCTAGTAGTGAAAAAGACAAACACATTGTACTAAGCCAGTTTACGCATCTCGAAGATGCACCTGAAGAGGTCTATAGAAAGTGGAATTCTCCTCTTAAGGCAAACATACAAGAAATACAATACCTTTCTCCATGTATTGGGGTTAATTTAACTAGGGGAAAGACGAAATTCATTGAAAATCGACGCCAAGAAGGGGTGAATGAGAAATCGAAACCCCTCATCTATAATGTCCTTATACACGGGTACCTCGCGCGGATCAGATCCGGGAAGTCTTTCTTTGGGACCTGGGGCTTTATAGAGGTAATTATCGACCCTATCATATCTAGCAAGACATTTTTCCAACTTAGAGACTATGACTTTTTGGAATTTCAAGGGGGACGATCTCGCTAGCTGGATCCCCCCTGATTTCTAAGTTTTGGTTTGGAGAGTTGTTGGAGCCAATATGTCTCTTAGGGGAGCTTGAAATAAATACCTGAGAATTAGTTGAAAGGGTTCGACTATCATACTCACAATGAAACCCAACAGACGAAGGGGGGAGGCCAAAGGACTTTGACTGGTCAGAGGTCCGACTAGCCTAGCGGATGGGCGGCGGGGGGCTAGTCGGCCGACCAACCTCACCGGACGACCGATCGGTCGAATTTGTTTCAGGGCCGACCGGCCCCAAATCACTACTTTCATCGGAAGAAGAAGGAAAAAGGATAGTCTTGTACATGATTTTACAAAAAAAGAAAGAAGAAAGAAGAAAGAGTTGCCTTGGAAGAGAGGGAAGACTAAGATGTTAGAAGGAGGTAAAAATGATTCACATGTGAGAGACCACCCCCTTTTTATAAGCAAGAAATTCGAATTCTTTTGGGGGGAAAATTCCCTCCAAGTTAGGGGCCATGGGTGGATGCCAAGTGTTCAGTGAAATAGGCTTCCAACTTTAAATTATACTGCTCGACTTACTTAGACGAATGATACAAAAAAAGAAAAAAAAGAAAAAAAGGAACAGGACAGGGGAATCACTACCCCTTGTCGAATAACATCGACAAGGGGCAGGGGGCTAATTATATAAGCTAGCTTAGAGAACCACTCCCAACGACAAACGAGACGGGTCACTACACGCTAATGTAAGGCCATCGACCCCCGGGATCGCTCTATCTTTATGCGAGGCCATCGATCCCCTGGGGGCGCTCTACCTCTATCTATCCCTCAAAAGTTACCTATATGGCTACCCTAACACTAAGTAAAAAAATCTCAAGTAAATTGTCAAAGCTCTATGACGGTTATTACGATCACAACCTCCAGGCGAGAAGTTAGAGACCCCCACCTAGAACGTTGGGTAGTGGGAAAGCCAACGTGGGACACATGACATCATTATCGCCCCGCACTCACTCGACTTCCAACACTTATAAATACCCCCCAAGGCGACACAGGTAAGGAGATTGACATTTTTTAGCCATCTGAATTCCATCCTTATTTCTCCTAACACATATACTGATTTTCACGTCGGAGGTAAAAAGGGCGAAAAAGCCCCGACCTCACTTTTCAAGCTACACACGCTCGTCGAAGTAGTATGAACGCTAAAAGCCACCAGGTAGATCAGGAGGTATCATTCCACTACCATTTCACTTATGATTAGAGGTTAAACATTTATTGATTTAAATTTAACATTTAATACACACACTTTCACATGCAAAACGTTTTGATTTTTTGTTAACAATTTCTATTAAAAAGTACGCTACTATGAAACCACATCAAAAGCTATAGGTAAACATAGAATCTATTTACTTGAGCTCCTATGATCCCAAGAAAATGCACTAATGCATAACCGGCCACTTGCAAAGTAATTCTCAACACAACTTACCAAAAAAGATTGAGAAATAAAGATTTGGCGATTTAATAAAGACATTGTAACGACCCGAGTTTCTGTACCCAAGCCGTTAGTTTACGTACTGCCCGCTTTGGGTGGGCTTTGTGCCCACTCACCCCTCACGGCTTTCTGTCTTGTCCCCTAGGATTCGAACTCATAATCTTTCCCTTAAATAAAACTTAAGTTAAATCTGGTACCAACTGGACAACCTGGGTCGTTACAGACATTCCATTGACTACACAAATCTTCATACAAAATACAAAGCTATAAATCTAAATCTTTGGACAAAAAATTCTCTCTGTGGGAATTGTTATATCAGAAGCAAAAAGCATCATATAGAGCATCAGATCAATTAGAGCTGGGTAATTGGAATTTGCTCTGGGGTTACCATATATATTCAGGATATTATACAGTTACAGAAGAAGGTGTAGGAAGGACGCCATTTTCAGCAGGAATCTCAACAAATTCTGAAAGCATTGCTCGAAATTCATCTCCACTCATTGTTTCCTTCTCGAGGAGGACCTCCACTATCTTATCCATTGCTTCAAGGTTGTTCCGGATTTGGCTCAAGGCAATCTCATATGCGCTATCTGAAATCCTCTTAACGGCAGCATCAATATCTTCAGCAAGTTTCTCTGACATTGAATTCCTTGACATCAGCACTTTGACCCGAGGAGTCCATGAGCGACCATGGCCCCAATTCGGACATGCCAAAAGTGAGAACCATCTACCAAGGAATCATAACGTTTTAATAAAAGAACCAAGTTAATAATCTAGTAAGTTAATGATTTATTCCAGAATCCTGGACCACAAGGAGTAGAAATAGAATGTTTACCTGCCTGGCCAGACCCGTAAACTGTTGTAAATCACCAGCTGCCCCAGTAGTCACCTCAGGCTCACCAAATATGATTTCTTCAGCAGCTCTTCCACCTAGCCCACCAACAATTCTGGCAAAGAGTTGCTGCTTGGATATCAAGGTAGGGTCATCTGCAGGAATGAACCAGGTCAAACCACGAGCCTGACCACGTGGTACCAAAGTGACCTTTTGAACAGGATCATACCCTGGAGTTAGCATTCTGCATGATAACACAAGCAAAATATAGATGATTGTAACTTGTTTCTATTAAAAACAAAGAATATAGTATGCAGAACTTGCTTTTGGAAAGAAATCAAGAATCCATACCCTGAAGTATATGAATTGAACTTTCATACTATAAGTAACTCAAAGAGACATGATGGGGAAAAAAGGAGCTTTATTCCAGAACACTAGCCAGTTAAAAGGCATATTAGATAGAACACTAATTAGATTAGCTATGTTTTATGGCTCTGAGTGTTGAGCTGTTAATGGTAGAGATGTTAATAAAATGTATATAGCAGAAATGAGGATACTAAGATGGATGCCGGATCATAACAATAAAAAGGATGAGATAAGAAATGAGAAATATATAACACCAAGTGGAGGTGATGCCGAGGACAAAGAAGGAAGACTTAGGTGCTTGGGGTCGTAATTTGCACCAATTTAAAGAGGCCCTTGTTCGTATGAGTGATGAGATTTTGGTATAGAAAATTAGGGGAAAAAGGTGTAGAATAAAAATTATCTTGGCCTGCAGTAGTTTCTAATAATAGCTACCTCAGATCTCTTGGTAGATGTGGACGAACAAACTAGAATGACCAAGAAGGTTTCCTATAGCTGATCCCAAATTTATTTGGAGGCTAAATTTGTTATTGTAGCTAAAGGAAGCAGAACTTATAAATGATCATATTTTAAGTGTAATCACAAGCATTCCCGAGTAAAGCATGTTTAACTTCTCATTTATACTTCCACTAACATAACAGTAGAGCGCTATTTAAATTCCAGATACTAAACTGCCACATACATTAATCCCAACACTGTGCTTACCCAAGACAGGAAATAATTATTATTTATTTTTATTTTTATTTTTATTTTTATTATTATTATTATCATCTTTTTTTTTTTTTTTGAGCTTAGTCAATAATCATTGCAAAATTTTCATGTACTCAGCCCAGCAAACGCTCGTCCAGAAAAGCATATAGGTTTGTTCAAGTACGATGTTTGCTAGGTGTGAGAAAGACATGATTTGCAAATTTGCAATAACTGTAACATAAGGAGCCGAGGTTGTGGCCCGGTTCGTGATAGTAAGACAGCCAGAATTTAGTTTACAGCTCACAGTTCACAGACAATAGGAGACAAAAACCACGTCATAAGATTGATTTCAGATTTAACTATTATATCTAAAAAGCAAGACGATAAAAATGCCAAATTTGCTAATGTAAAAAATAAAAAAAATAAAAAAACTGTAAATGAACTTCTTTACAGCACGTACCCATGGCATGGCCTTCTTGAAAAGATTAAGGACTCATGATGCACCAACACTAACAAACATCTCAACTAACTCGGAACCTGAAATTGAGAAAAATGGAACACCAGCTTCCCCTGCAATTGCCTTGGCTAGCAACGTCTTTCCAGTAACTGGAGAACCAACAAGCAGAACTCCCTTAGGATACGTGCACCCACGGAGGTAAACCTCTGAGGCTTCTTTAGGAACTCTACAACCTCCATAAAATCTTGCTTTGCCTCATTTACTCCAGCTACATCATCAAATGTTACACCAGTGCTCAGTTCCATCTGAAACTTGGAGTTTGACTGACCAAAGGCAAGTGGAAAACCTTGCCCACTAGGACCACCCATTCCTCCAGAGGACCATCTTGAGAGAAGGAAAAGACCCCCAATCAAGATAAGAGGGAAGACCAAGTTTCCAATCAAGTTGAATAAAAGAGAAACAGTCCTCTTGAGCATTGTGGCGGTAAAGTCAATATTCTTTTCTCTGGACTTCTGAAGGAGCTCATGGCTGAGTCCTGGGACGTGAACTCTCTGCACTCAGTTACCAAACTCTGGAGAGATAGCGTTAACTATTTCTATGGTTCCATTTTCAAACAAGTCTACTTTTGTCACACGATCCTTATCCAGATACTCCAAAAATCTCTAATAAGACATCCTTGAGTTAGAAACGCCTTGCTCATCAGCAAAAGCTTTCCCATTGCCTAGTAATGCAGAAGCGGCAAGTCCAGCATTTGCAAGAAACAATTTTAGAAAGGCTCTTCTTCATTCATTTGGCCTTTGATCCACTGTTGCTCTCACTGCGATTGGTTTCTCACTCAATGATGGAAGTCGTGTCGATTGGAGAAACTGCTTTCCATAAATTTCCTTGCTCAAACTTGTTCGAGTACTGTGTGTAGATAAACCACTTCCCACTACACAT